ACAACTTGTTAGCAAAAGAAATATCTTATTTACATATCTTTTCTACACCTTTTCCAGTTTTTCATTGCTTTTTAATATTTTTGCAGAAAAAAATACCTATTATGCCGGCATTATGCTTGATGCTCCATCCATAGTATTATGCTCAAAATTATGCCGGCATAAGGTATCTGACCCTAGAATGTACTTTGTGCTCCGAGGTATCACGTTTCTTTTCTAGTTGGTTGAGAAATCCTGCACGCGGTCGAGTTGTTGTTGATGCTTTAGTTATACCTGGATTGTATTCGTCGATTAAAAGAGTTGATTAATCAGGGAACGTGTCTTTGGTTCGTTTTCGACAACTCTTATTTCGCAAGATGATCCTCTCACAGCTGGAGCTTGGGCCGTCTGTTATTCGACCTGTGGATTGAAATCAAATGAAGCTATGATCCTTACAGTTAATAAGCAATTTAAGGATTTTCAGCAAGGAAGTCTGAAAAAATTCAGGCTTTGACAAGATTTGAACCCATGCGTGTCTCCTAGATATTAAGTAAGCCTTTATAAGTCATAGGCTGTTGGCTGCTTGTTATTGGGCTAAGCATATTTGCTTGCTTCAATGGCATTCAAATGTCCTTCTTCCTAACTATCAAAATGTTAATCTGTCATTAAATGAAATGCAAAATCCCAATTTTGTTTTTATCGAAAAAAAAAAAAGAAGACAGGGCCTCTTTTTTTGTACGACAGTTAAGAATTGGTATTTCACTGAGCATACTTAGATCTAACAAAAATAGCACCTCCTTTGCTTTGGTAATTATTTTCAGTTTATATTAATTGTTATCATATCGTTGGCAACGCCCGTAGGCAATATGAAGCGAATCCTGTGTTCTTCTTGATTACCTTGGGTCGCTTCTCAAGGCTGCATCCAATACAAAGATACTTGATGATTAGTCCCGATGGTACAGAGTTTTGTTTGAAATGATCGCAAAATAAAAAGCATGCCCCTTTGTTGCCCACCACGGTTTGAAATCCACGAATGAATTAACAATTTAACGAATGCGGCCGCAGGAGAGAATATCACTGGCATGCTACTTGTTATTCTAAGGAATTCAAAGTTTGATCCCTTTTGCTCAGAGGGGAATCCCAGCGGACCGTCAAGTCGCCTAATGCAAAATTTCACCGTGTTTGTGTGCACTCCAAATTTTATCAAAACTTAACGATATTCAAGATCTGAGCTTTCATGTGATATAAGTTTTATTAGTTTTGATAAGGAATTGCACTCATAGGAACGAAAGTCGTGTATAAGGTCATCTCGACATTCTCTGTGCCTAATACGAAGAAAAAACGCTAAGTCCCTCACATGCTTTTAATGTTGTAGTATATTACCGCATCTTAACTTTCATTTGATGTAAGTTTTATACGAATTCATGAACATCAGTGAAAATCACTGGGCTAAAATCTCTCTGGTTTCGCTGTACGTAAACTGATCAAAATTTCCTTGACATCAACATGTTTTATTTATTGTTCCATAATTGAGACATGAAACAGAACGTTTGAGTCCCATTCGCCGTAGATTACAACAACTTAGCTCTCATTTGTTGTAAGTTTCATACGACAGGCTACACATAACGTCTGAGTCCAATCGCCACCGGTGACGAGTAGACTCTCAGTGGCAGCGAGTTTGTTGTGGTGGCGAGTTAAAAGGATACCTTTTCAAGATTGTGGATCCTTACCGCTGTATGCTGAACCTCGAAATCCCGGCTGCTGCTCTCTCGGACTGTTTTACAAAGCTGAAAATTTGCACGCAAATGGTTTTTGTAATCTTGGAAACAATATCTGCCCACCAGATCATACCTTACCAGGCCTCTAGCATGAACGAAGAAATGGTTCGAAGAAAACAATCGATATTCGCTTTCATTTATTGAATATTTTCTAAAATAACTTTTTAAACAGTGTGCTTGAAAAATCTAAGTTGGATGCTACAAGATTTAATAGGTCCTTGGACTCCGTTCTCCATGAACGGAATTTTAGGGAATAACTTCATTGCCTACAAAAATCCATGTCTCTCGGCGCTGTTGCTATGGATACGTTTTGGAGAGAGAAAGAATTGAAATTTTGATCAATCAACGAATGTCTCTTTACACTTCCATTTATCCTCAGACTCTATCGCTGAATCGCGATACATAACGAATTGTGATTTTGAGTTGCAAATACGGTATGATATTGGCGGCATTGAGAGAAATTGTATTCTCCATTTGAGAAATTATGTTCTCATATTGAACAATTGAGGCCCAGCCACACTCCTGTATTTTCTCCCAACTGGCTCTAAATGTGATGCGATTTTAGTGATTACCATGACAAATATATTCCTGGCCAGGTATTCTACGCCTAGATCGTTTTCGTCGCATCTCGCTAAGGTAAGAGCTTTTAGTTTTCATTTGATCCTAAGGGTTTTTATAGCTTTTATCTAGATCCAAAGGATTTTTACTAGTAATCGTCAAGAAGTCCAAAAATGAGAAAGCCGAAGCGAAACAAACTTGAATCTATAAACGAGCGACGTCTGTACAATTCGATCGCAAACACAAGTGGTCCCCGGTCCAGGAAAACTATAAGGATCTAATCAAAGTTTCAACCGCTTCAACTCAGGAGTAAGATTTACCCTCGAATCTATAACTGTAACTGAAAGCGATTTTAGCGCGATCCGACCGGCCAAGGGATGAAGTGTTGACAACAATCGCACCTGCATTTGCAACTGCAAATACATGGCCAAGGCGGTGTTAGCTTCGGGCTACTCGTTACTTCAAAGTGTTTCAAGACTATTACTTCGGCAGCTTTGTGGACTTAACTGATCTTGCTACTGAAAAACCACCTTCTGCTGAAGATCAGAATGAAAATGGATTGTTAAGTGAGGTTTGTTTTTACGTATGTATGTGTAGGCCAATCGCAGCATATGCTTCCTCGTAGAGACGGGGCATAAGTGGAATAAGATTTGCTCAATAAGGAGGAAAAAGAGTCTGCTGAATTGATGTGTTCACTCAACAACAGAAGAATGTTTAGAGAGAAACGCCGAGTTTGAGCTCGTTTAATTATCACAAGTGAGACTTAAGGCGTGAAACAGTTCGCGCGCAATGCCGTCAAATCTAGCAAAGATAATTATCACATAAAACCTTTACAAAAATAAAAACGCGCGTCAAAATTAGAACAACGTTTACTCACTAGGATCCTTATACCCTCCGTTTCAATGAGTTATTCAGATATTTATTTTCTACCACTCCTTGGAAAACCTTGAAAATTTCCTTACGTGGCACATCGAGGCATGAATAAAGTCAGGAGTTGCTCCGCTGGCGACGAAACGCAAAACAGGACTTTCTAAACACATAACCATGAGTTTAGTTTCTAAAAATATCGCTCAAACTTTCCTATTTATATAACTGCTGTAAATGGGCGGCCTGTAATTTTGTAGACCAAACAATTTACCTCCGTAAATATAATTATTAGTGCGAATGTCGATTATGCACAAATTATTTCAAGCCAGGAATCTCAGCTGGTACTGTATCACGTTACATTTGGTAACGCAGGAAGCCATGACACGGTAAATTGGGGTTCATGCATATCGGTAGGCCCAAGGGGCTTTTCTCAAAGTGTCATATGATCATTTTGAAGATTTTTTTTGCTCTCCTGACAATCTTGGTGACTGGGATAACCTTCGTGTGTGTTTTTTCTGTCACGATCGTTTGTCACACTTTCCGCCATGACAGACATCCCAGCATTCCCCACGAGTTAAACCTACAAATGTCATCCATACTGGGGTGGATCCAGGAAAACCAAAAGGGAATCCAAAAATATCAAAGAGATTAACATCCATAAAATTAGAAATGATTTGGGAAAACGTGTGCTGACCCTTTCTTCTGTTTTCATTCGGAGACAGAGGTCAGCCTACTTGGCTATAGTCTAATTTTTTGTTGGATGCAAAATGCTTTGGCAGTTCAGGCTAATGATGATTGATTTACCTCAGTATTCTGCATAAAAATATCAAAAAAGCTAAAGAAAACACAACATTTCTTAATTATTTGAAGGCTTATTATTTTTTTTTTCAACCTTTGATTTTGTGCATGAAAGCACAAGTTTAAATGGAATTTTCTTAGGGTTATTATAGAATTAAGAGTAATACCCAATCATCCCAATGAATTACAAGGGTAGCAGAATTTTATTTTTAGATTTTGATAGCCCTTGATAAGATTTTCTTACTGCAAAAATTTTATTTTTGGGTTTGATAGTTCTTTGGGACCTTCCTTCCTTGCACTGATATTGATTATTGAGTAAAATAAGATCTTCATTAGCAGGCACTGTCTACAAAAGAAGTTTTGTAACTTGTTCATGCTTAATAGAAAAAAGCACTGTGGTAACACAAAGGTCTAAGTATATCAACATTTTTTATTGTCAAATTAACTTAACCGTGTATGAATCTTCTGGAGAACTTATGTAGAAAAACAGCAATTTGCATTTATTTTCATCTTTTGATCATGTGTTTAGAGTGATGACCACTTATAATATGCAACTAAGGATAACAAGTATGTTTTCAAGTAATTGTTATGCAATTGAATACATTCACTGGTAAAACAGGATATGTTGTTGTTGTTGTTTGGACTTGAGACTCTAAAAGCTGCACTTGCAGTGTTAGTTTTTTTTTTTATTATTTGCATCTAATTGTCACTGCATAGTCACACTCTTCTGTCTTGTAGTGGAGATTGTCTTTGCAACATACTTTGCCTAGGTCATATGCTAGAGCTAATTTTCTTAAATCTTCACTTTTATTTACATTCATTATCTGCAAAAATTTTCAAAGTATGTAAAATTTATGTATTGTAAGGCTTGAAACTTAATATCTGCTGATTACATTACCATGTATAAGCTTTAACAAAACAGCAAGCAAAAGTTATCAGAAAGCATTCTTAAGGCCTATTTACACGGTACGACTTTGTCGCATGCGACAAGCTTACAACAGGCCTACGACACGAATTGTATCGTGTAAATCAAACCTACCACTCGCTTACGACTGTCGTGCACGTCACGAAAAATGTCGTAGGATTTTAAAACATGTTTTAAAACGCTGCGACAATCGTAGCCGAAATTGATAGAAAATGACGTATTTTGTGACAAATTTCTACTGAGTAGGGGAGGAAGATGTATTTTTCTTGCGTCAAAATGGCGGAGGAAGTCGCCTCCGGAAAGTCGAAGACTGCTTCCAAAGCGAAAAATACATTCTCAGATGAGGAAACAGAGAATATGATATCACTGTGGAGCGAGGAAGAGGTTCTTTTCCTTCTCTTGCAAATTATTGAAACAATAACCGCGGCCGAAACGAGTGGAATTGCACGCGATTTTGGCATGTCGCAGGTGAAAATGTCGTGCGCGTGTAAATTGTCCTAAGTCATGTCGTAGGCCTGTCGTAAGCTTGTCGCATGCGACAAAGTCGTACCGTGTAAATAGGCCTTTAAGGTGCTTTGAAAAATCTTCCCCTAAAATGCTCAAATTTTTTGTATGGAGGTGCATATGTCGGTTTGATTCAACAAGATTAATTCAACAAAACTCAATCATCCTTGTTTGATGAAGTCTTGTGAGGGATGGATTACGATTGCACAAAATGAAATTATCTGCACCTAAATTTGAAAACTCTCCACATGCATCCAAAACTAAAGGTAGAACAACGTTTGACTGGAAATGAATAGAAAAAAGGCTGAAAGTTTCTTAAAACTGAGACAGGTCGTTAATGCGTATAGATAATCGAGGATCACTGGTTTAATTGATGTACGTCTAACCGTTCTGTAAAAGTGATGGCCAACACAACTTCAACGACTTATAATATTTTTTTTTGTTTCCGATGTGCACTTTAATATATCTGTCGAAAAGTTTCGGGGACATCCACGTGACACTCATGGCTTTTTCGACAAAAAAAGTGACACCAACTTCTTTTCATAAAAACTGCGAAGTTGTGGAAACTTTTATACCGCAAGTTATAGAATAAACATAAAAAAAACTTTACCGTGCAAAATAGCAGATTTGAAGAGTAACAAGATAATTTAGTTTCATCAACTGAGTAGAGTTAATTGGCCACCTTAAGTGTTCCTGGAGGAGATGTTTTGAGTGTTAGCCCTTCGTCATTCGCTCTGACCAAGGACTAACGCTCGAAACGTCAGCTTTAAAAACTTTTCACGATTACTTTTAACATTATCAACTCAATTGATAAAACCAAGTTGTTTTGTAATACTCACTACTGACGCAGTACCACATTTTCTTTAGAAAACTTATCCCCTTCATTCATTTGAAAAGTAACGGTTTGGCTTTGTCGATACACCATATCCAAACATGCCCATTGAAATTAAGCCTACAATCTATTACTACTGCAAGGATTTTTATTGGATTTTAACCAATTCATTTTGAGAAAAAGTGGTCTTAGTGCAGATCTGCGCCACCCCGGTTTCACACGTGTGCTACCGGTACTCATTGAACACACAGTAGCTGCTCATTCTCCTGATAACTTTCAAAAATGTTGTTATTTACAGGTAGCCTGTACTACGACGGAAACAAAAGATTTATCACAGAATGGGAGGAAAAGAGTACGCTCTAAAGTGTACACTTGGCTTGATATTGTTTGTAGTGCTACTGTGGCAACTTGAGACAAATTATTTTCCCTCGAATGAAAATTCTACCTCCATGATACCAGTTGCTGTAGGGAGAACGGAAATGGATGACATGAAGGAACCTGTTAAGGATAGTTCAAAGCTAAAGATAAAAGCTTGGAAAATCACAACACAGCACGGCATAAATGTAACAACCGAAGGATCAGAGACAAAGCGTTGGCTTGTAGTATATTGGTCAACGTTTTTTGGAAGAAGGCTCAATCTTCACGAAACTTTTGAAAAAGGTGACTGCCCAGTACCGTGTGAGTGGACTAGTGACCAGTCCAGAGCAAAAGAGGCAGATGCCTTTTTAGTCCATGCCAGGGACCCACGACCAGACCCACCAATAAAATCAGTGCCTTGGATTCTGCAGACTCGAGAAAATCCAATTTACACACCGGTATTGAACGACGCCAGCTTCATGTCGAAATTTAGCTACTTGAAAAGTTATCGGCTGGACTCAGACTTTCCAGATCCCTCTGTCTTGCTGCCTGGTGTAGCACCCCCTGTTCCTTTTAAGAATAAGACTGGGCTCATTATGGCAGCTTTCTCAAATTGCGAGGCAGTTCGAACCGAGTACATGAGGCAGCTAATGAAGTTTGTAAAGGTGGATTCTTTCGGCGCCTGTCTAAGGAACAATAATAGTCTAGTGGGCAGGTATGGCAAAAACAAACAGGGCACTGATTTCAGAGATGCTAAATCCATGCTGGCCAGACAGTACAAGTTCAACCTGGTGTTCTTCAACCAAGACTGTGATTATTTTGTGGATGCTCAACTACACCACGCAATGGATGCAGGCTCGGTTCCTGTCGTCATGGCTACAGATAAGCTGGATGAGTTTCTACCCGGGCCCTATCTTAACCGTTCAGTGATAAAAGTGCGTGATTTCAAGAGCCCTGAACTGTTGGCTGAATACCTCAAGTATCTTAGCAACAACGAAACCGAGTACAATAAATATCTGGAGTGGAAGTGGGAAGGATATGGCGACATCACTAGAACTGCTATCGGAAATTATTGGATGCCAAAGTATCCACTGTATTGTCAAGTCTGTGTTGCAATTTCGAAAGGGAAAGGGCCCAAAGAGGGTCTTAAACCATTCAATTGCAAACCAAGGAAATTTGAAGACTGGGGAATTACGAAAGGAGCCTGACTTAAGTCTACTTTTGTCATTAAAGAGGACCCCGTTAGCTTAGCAAAAGAGTCAGATATGGTGAGATATATCACTTTACATGCACTTTCTCCAATCACATTATGAAAATGAGGGTACTGAGAAATCTTTTCGAGAACTTACCAGGCCTGAAATGATGTTTGCCTTTGAAATAATAAAACTGTTAGTCATCTGTGTTTTCTGTCGAAGCGACGATCTCGGATTGTGTATAGTTTGTTAATCTCACTCAGCCTGTTCAGCATTTACTAGCGGAGCTCGCAGAGCGTAGCCCCATAATTACACAAAATAGTAGTAACCGATCAAGCCGAAAAAATTTGGACTTACGACCGTACGACCGACCGTACAAGATGCTACTTTTAACATGCGCAGTCAACTGTATCGCGGGCACACCAACGCCACGGCTTTGTCCAGTAGTCTAGTGGTCAGTGCACTGAGCTCCGAGTTGGACGACACGGGTCCTAGTCCTGGCCGGGGCAAGGAGTTGTGCCCTTAAGACGTGCGGGGAAAAAATGCGAGCTCCGCTTTTAGGCTTGGCTAAATCTATATATTATGTGATGACGAGGAGGTAGAGAAAAACCTCAACCTGAAGGAGAGCCAGTTAAAAGCTTATTGTCAATCCACGCAATGAAGATGTTTTCTAGAGGTTACTATTCCCAAAGACCAAGCATCGTTTTATAAACAAAGGTTTGGGAAATGAGGAAAAATTTTTTTAAAAAATGGAAGGCTTGAGAATAGTGAAAGAAGCTAGAGTTGCTTAATTTCGGGTACAACGTGAACAGCTCATAATTCCTCCGTACATTCCAAACTTTTCGTGAGCATCCATAAATCTGAACTCTAAACATAAATCAATTCGCAAATTTTCACAGGCCGGGTAGTATTCAAGGAAATAAGATTTTGACCAGTTCTGGGAAAAGTCAGAGAATCACGTCTTTAGATGAGGTCAGGGAGAAGTGAAATCGCAAAGAAATATGATCTTATTCATCTTGGCCTCTTCAAGATGAAAGATGCGAACACGGCAGGGACCACGGCAGGACGTGACCTCCGTGCCCCACCCCATATACACACCCACCCAGCTACCCTCACACACAAACGCAGCTTTGCCTTTGTTCACTGCCAAGTTTTAGGCGGTTTTCAGGTCATTTGTTCGTATCCCTATGGCAGCATGAAGGTGGAATCGAATGGAAATAGAATGGAAAGCTGTGTTCGATTCGTTTTGTAATTGAAAATTATAGACGATTGGTAATTTATTGAGCTATCAGCTTGTTGATGGAGTTACTTGCAAGAACTGACCAATCCGGGACAAGGAGTTGTGTACAGGAAACAAGATTGAATTCCGCGTAAATTATTTGCCATGTCTGCTTTCTTTGTCACGAGAGATAAAATAACTCTCTTCAATCAAGTTTTCGTGGAGGAAAATCTGAGCTCTGTACATGTGCCGATCTGAATAAAACGAAGGAATCAGTACACTTGAAGAGGACTTGAAGAGGTCTTGAAGGTAATCTAAAGCCGAGAGATATAGTAACGAAGGTCTTCAAAAGGGCTGAGGGTGGCATGCTCTTCTATTCCCTAAAATGATACAAAGCTTTTCCCGCGTTCACCAGGAACGTTTAAAAACCGTTTTCATCGAATTTCTGTTTTGATATGTTCCCATTACGTCCTTTTCCCGTACGCTGTTTTCCTGATCCTCTTCAAAACTATTCAAAGATGGGAAAAATACTCTTTTTAGAGCTCAATCAAAATCAACCTTAGGCGTGAAGCCAACAATAATCAAGTTAGAAAATATCGCTTGATACGTGTCTAGTATGTGTCTATTTACAACTGCTACACAACGATGCTAGTTAGTAACTGGATTTAGCCGCTGGCTAGTTTGGGGCGCACTCGCTGAAGAGCATGTGAGCCGAATGCAACATGGCTTCCCGCCATGTCGATGTCAACGAGCGTCGGCTTCGTCCTGTTTATGGTACTTCTCTTTCGTTTTACCAGTTACAAAAATTACTGATATAAAAGAGAGATAATTTTTGACCCTTTTTGTGCTATATTTTCAGATGCGTTGGACAGTATGAACAACAAACTGGCCATCCAACTTGCAGACAAAATTTTAAGGAAGCAGAAAGACCTGTACTGCGCCAAGGTAAAAGTTTCTGCGGACGGCATGAATCGCGTTCAGTGAAAGTGTGATGACGCTAAATGTGTAGTAACAGGGTACATTCAGTCCTTTGTTTGAATTGCAGGCTCTTAAAGGACTGGCTTTATTGCGATCAGGAAAAACTGCTGAAAGCGAGACAATTATGGTGGAGATTATGGAAGCGAAACCAGCGGACGATCCCACGCTTCAGGCAATGACAATTTGCTACAGAGAGATGCAAAAACGTAAGAAATGTGTAGAGTTCATTTATCAAGGGTTACTTTCTCCAATTCACCTATTCAGATTAAAACTAATGAATGAGTTAGATAACAGCAGGTGCCTGTTCCTCTGATCCGCTATTTGCACTTGGTGATTGACCCACAGCTTCTCCTTACAATATCAATAGAAACACCAAGAAGTACGTGGTGGGAATAGGCACACTGATCTGTTACAGGGTGTTTTCATGATACAACTCTGGTCTGAAATGATGTATAAGTTGAAACAGGTCAAACTGATGGGCAGATTACATATGTCTTGACCCAGGTCAGTTCTACACCTTGAACATCTTTGTCGTGTGAAATGCAACAAGTTCCTCACTATGTCTCTTTCCATGATGTAGTTTGAACAACTTGGAAAGTTTTGTCACTTTTCAGAATTACTCTGTTTCCATGTTTTTTTTTCCACCAAAACACTTTAAAGTTTCTCTGAAATTCTCGCATTTTCCTTGAGGTTGTTAACCAGCTTTTCTTTTTATCATTGACTGTTGGAGTGTATGTGCTTTATGTTTTTAAGCTGAGATGATTCCTTGTATTTATGAGATGGCCTTGAAACAGAACCCGAAGAATGAAGAATTATATTCTCACCTCTTTATGGCATATGTCAGAATTGGAGATTACAAAAAGCAACAACAGGTGAATCTCATTCACTCAGATTTTAAAATTTACTTTTGCCTAAATGAACCCAATGGCTTTCAGGGCTTCTTATAAACCTTATGCAAAGATGTTTGTGTCATTTTACTACATTGTTGGTTCAAGCTTTTCAGTTTCAAGTGTTTTATGCTTGTAAAAGAAAAGCAATAAGATTGTAGGGTTACCTTCTGCCTGAAGTGAATTTGTTTGCAAATTGAAGTGAAATAATGTTGCCTGAACAACTTTCCTTATTTCACACTCCTTCCCAACCAATATTTGCAAATGTTTTATTTCAAATTTAAATCAACCCTTTCTCAGTGTGTCAAGTAGTGTTTGCAACCTTGGAGGGGTTAGTTTGGCATTGGAGAAGATAGAGTTCTCGAGCTACTATGCAGAATTATTTGGTCAAATTGTAATTGTCAGGCCTGTATTTCACCCAGAGTTGAAGAATATTTTTTACCTGTTAGGTAACACCATTTTCTTGCAACTTCATGTCTCAATGCAAATCCTGGAAAGGAGACCCTAGTTTACAAACTTTATGTGCTATTGCCTCCAGGGCTCAAGTCATCAATTTTATGGGGGGTAGTTATTAAAAACAAACAAACAAACAAACAACAACAACAACAACAACAACAACTGAAAAACCCTTGTGAAAATGTTACAAATCCCTCTCTTGTCCACTTGTCGTGGAGTCCAATCTATGTAACTGGTCATTGAGTTTGTGGAGATTAATTGTGAATGTACTATTGTTTTTGCAGGTGGCTATGAATCTGTATAAACTGTTCTCTAAGAACCCTTACTACTTCTGGGCTGTCATGAGCATTGTGATGCAGGTAAAATATTATCCCTACTTTTAAAGATGTGTTCCTTTGATCATGTCATGCAAGTTATTTGTATCTATAATCATGCATGTTCACTCAAAGGAGATACTGTTTGAATAGAGAGCTGTTCATAGTGCTTTAAACCTCTACCCTTGAACCTTTAAACCTTGAGAGTGACCATTATCTAAATTCTCCTTATAGTAATACTGCTGAGTCATTCATAAAGATCATAAGAATAAAGGAAATGAATGTTAACCTAAGAGGCTTTGATTGTTACACAAAGGAAACATGTAGGTTGTAAAGGGTTAAAATAAGGCAAATGAAATCATCATCAACATAAACTACAACTGTTAGAAGAGATACTGAAAATGAAAAATCTACACACTCCTGTAGACCTTCACTTTGTCATGGCATATTTCCCTCAGAATTAAATCATCTCTACTGGCAGAGGAAGGGTGGAGTAATTCTTGTTGCATGCTGTTCTTAAGGCTGATAGTTGGGTGAAAGCACGTGGTATTGATGTGTAAAACATCTTTCAATACTGTGGAGGGTCAAGATTTTAGCTCAATTACAACTTTTGTTGACAATTCAGGGTTGTCAGTTCAAAATTTATACAGAGTTCTGTGTCTTTCATAATAACAACCTTTGGTGAGTCAACAATATTTGATGAAGTTTCCCTGTAGTTCAATTGTAGAATCTATTTGAAATGTTATGTTTCAGGGTATAATGGCTAGTGAAGAGAAACTTGGAAAAACTATGCTTTTTCCTTTGGCTGAGAAAATGGTTGAAAAATTTATAAATGAAGGCAAAATTGAAGCTGAAGCAGGTGCAGTATTTTTTTAGTTACCTGTTGCTATCCCCTAGATAGCCATTTATCCTTTGTTCAGTGTTGTCCAACCTTCAAACAACAAAGGCGAGGTTTTTAAGGGAGTGGGAAACATGAATCTTTATGTCTTAAGCTTGTCCATAGTTTCTGAAAGAAGCCATATGATGGAAATATCTTGCATCATGTCAGTTCTGAATCAGTTTGATGTTTTCCATTCTTGAACATACAAGTCACATTCCTTTTAGATTTAGTACTGTCTACTGTGTTTTTTTTATGTCATGAAAATTATATCTTGATAGTCTCCTTCAAGCTGAAAGTAGCACATACTGAGGCAAAAAAATTGAGATTGAAATGTCATGATAGTATTTGTTTTAAGCAGGAGAAGCTTCTGCTTGTTAAGTCAGTAATTACCCACACTTTGCAGTAACAATAATATCTTCAAGCATATACTTGCTATTTTCTGTAGTTATTAACTGTATTATTTTTCTCCCATTGGGTTTTTGCATTA